AAATGCAAATGAATTATATTAAATGAAAAAAGTGTTGCATCATGTTTGTTTATTGATTAAATTTCGATGAGAAAATAAAGTTGAGTCGCCTGGTATATCGGTATCAATTGAAAAAAGATTTCCTATCTGAGAATTATTAATTTCACACTTTTGGATTTGGAATTAAGGATCCTGGCACCGCCCTTCATTAAATGTATCGGATTAAAAATATTTAATGACTTTGATAATTGTCGCATCCTTGTGAGCGTGTGCTCTATACGTTTGTGCGCGTGCCAGTTGATGGCGAGAGTAATTAGGTAATTATGTATTCATCGAACATTATGACGTTTTTATTACATTTTGATTGTTATAGTATAGTATGATGTGGACACTGTAAAAGGCATGAATAAAATAGATAATCAACATGCTTTAGAAGATAATGGTACCACATTTCAATTAAATTTTATTTAAGAACTATGATAAACTTTTGAAGCAGAATCGCATTTTTATTCGAACTAGCACAAGTAGGGCAAACCTCAAATATACATAACATGCCAACAGCCTGTTCATAGCACTATAAGATAATAAAATAAATATGTATTCCAAAGACAATTATTGAATGAAGAAAAATATCAAAAATAGAAGTAAAAAAGAGGTATAACAACCAACACTTAACACAAAAATATAAAAATATGCAACTACTAAAAAGTAATCGAGACAACTTCGAGCTTTCGTGGGAAAGATTTATCAAAAGAAAGACAAAATAGTTGTCTTTTTACTGAGTCCCGGTACAAATGAACCATATCCGAATTGCCCCTGGCTGATGTTTGAGTCGCGGTCATTGCCAATCACCGGTGAAAAATTAATGATGTTTGTACATCGTCCTGAATTGGACAAAATACGACAAAAACAAATAAACAAAAAACAAACTTTTCAACTTGGAAAATAATGATGTTTGCTCATCTGTCTGTCTGTTGTCTCAAAGTCACGGAAAATCGAAAGTATCTTCAGCTGATAAGCCTGAAATATTCCAAAGCTTGATATTTTAAAGGCACGATATGAGCCATCGAACATATCCACTTCGACACAGCATTTTTATAGATCAGTTTTGCAAAGTTAAGATTTCAAATCTTATGTGATTTCACATTCATTCTCTTAATTAATAAATTTTATTTTTAATATGAGTTGAATAGTTTTTCGGGAATTTACAAAATCTTAGAATGGTGATATCATATGCTGTTGTGCTGTCAGAAATATTGGCTGTATTCACAAAAACATGATAATGTTTTCAATAGTTCGAAGCATATTGTTTCAATTTTAAAAATCATGACAGGTCACAATCAAGGCGCACATTAGATGACGTAAATAGGTGGACAAACAAAACAGCAGCAGTAAACATTTTTGGTGGATTATCGGGTCCTATAGACAAAATTAAAAATGAATAAATAAGAGGTATTGCCTTCTATCGAATTCCTCCTTCAAGTAATGAAAATCTGAAATGAGTTGCGGAGAAAACTAATTTATTCAAGTAACAACAAGAAAAACCCAAACAACAACAAAAATAACAAAACGAAAAATGTAGCAGTATGATCTATATGTATCATTCGTGTCTAGTAAATTTATATTGTCTTATCAACTTATCAACTTTCTTTGTTTTGCCGAAGCATAAATCATTCCTCGAACCAATGGTTTTCTAATTAAAGTTTCCTCGCATCAAGGGTGCGTGACTGTGATACACCAAGTGTTAGTCGAAAAGTTTCTTCATTATTGTTTGATCAGAAAATTCATGATGAACAAATCTATGTTGAGTCATAAATGGGTGTTCTAGACACGTATCTTAACCCACAATTTATTTAAGAGCTTTAAATTTTACATCACTTTCTAACCGCATTATAAAACGACAAACGCATTTATATTTTATATATATGTAGTCACTCGCGAGTGCTGCCTGACTTCATTTCGCAATTGAGAAAAATAATATGATGGCCCTCAATTTACGAGAGTATGGGTAAACACGAACTAGGGATAGTCCGTAGCATTATCTGTTCGTGTCAACTTTGTGCGTCAAGTGCGTTGCCTTACGCAACCACTTAAACTTGGAATAAATATTTGACATCAAACAAATCATTTCAACATATGAACCTTAGACCTTACAGAAGTCGTTTCTCATTATATTTACAATCTGAAACGTGCGATAGAATTTCGTGGGTTCTTTCAAAATTGTTTAGTTTTATTCACTTTTTTGAATTGCTTTGTATACAGTAGTTCCGAACATCATTACATCAGGCTTTTGACTATAAAATAACTTTTGAGTGGAGCAAAACCAAATGTACGAATCAAATCAATCCAACATTGTCAGTGCAATACAATCACACATTCGTATGTTATTCATATACGTGTTTAATCGTGATAAATAAATAGCTTTAATTAACGCACCCTTATATGAATATTATGAATGTCATCTTGTCTCATGTTCTGTTCATCGCACTAACTATAAAAATATCAATGAATTGATGATAATTTAGTCTCAAATACTGTTTTGGATTTGTCGTACTCTCGGCTTAACAGATTAAGTTTTATAAAATTAAAAAATTCTTTCCAAAACTTGCTATATTGTTCAAACGAAATATTCATGTCAGTTGCTTAACATAACTTTCGATCGATCTGATTTTTACATTGATGTAGTTTAGATACTTAGAAATCTATTTATCAATTTATTATTTATGGTATTATCAGTTATGTAGACACGTAGTTTTTCTGCTAAAATCCGCAGTTTCGATTCTTTTGTTTATCCTTAGATAGATAAAACATTTTTATTCTAAGATTTTTTTACGATCAAAAAAATTCAATAATGATAATGCCATAAGAATTTACTGATGTTTATGCTACCGACTTAACTGGAAGAAGAGTTGCAACATTTGATCGGGTAAATGACAATCTTTAATAACAAAAATAAACAATTGACTTCTACAATATTTTACGTTAAAAATTGGTGTCTTTACTCGTAACGTTAGAAAATTTTACATTATTATACATAAGTTGCAGTGATTACAATCTTAATAAAGTACTTGGTCCAATAATTAAAAGAAAAGCGATTTTTTCACAACAAGACGTAGAAGAAATATACTAACAACAACAAGTAGAACAACAACAACATAAAACATGTACTATACATAAAACTGAGGCTAATTTAGGTCATAATACACATGTTTAATTGCTATTGGTTAATTTCAATACCGGTTGGTATGTTGAGAATCAACATTGTAAACGTTATATAGTAATGATGTGCACAATACATTTTATAAATACTGAAGTTGATCGTTATTAAAATGTTGCATTTTATACGTTTGATCATATCGTGATTCAATTCTGCTGATTAGTTGCCAGTTTATCGAAATTCTAAACGAAATGATTTAAAAATTGAGTGACGTTTTACAAGTCCTTAAAGTTGGTTAGTGGTTCAGAATAATATTTGAAGCCTTCTTGTGAACTGAATTATAACCGGAATCCAAAGTATCTAATGGATGACATTGTGGTAAGCGCCTACGATACGATGTTGTAAGGAAAAACTTTGAGATAAGCTGTGCGTTGATTTAGTTTATGTTCAAAGCAGTTCTGAACAATAAATATAAACAAACGCAAAATTAAGGTTTAGCATAGGTTGTTTAAGTATTAACAACACTTTCAACAGATAGTCAATTCAACAAGTATGGTGCAAAATGTGAAGCTTTCGTGTAAACATTAATTACGGTTTACCGATGGATGAAAGTTTATTTACATTTTAATGCCGCAATGCCGTTTCAGTAATGATATAAACAATGAAAATATCGTAACAGAGAAATTTTAAACAAACTGACAAATTCTCAGAAGTTGATACTGAGCTTACTTAAATATCTTATCTACTTCACGTTATATCCTGACTATAAATTTGTAAATAAATAGTAACTTAGCTTGTATGATTTTTTATTTTAGTTCTGGCGCATTAACTTATTGGCGTTTATTAAATTTTTATATGTTGAATCATACCGTCTTTTCTTTCACACATGGAATTTATATTTTTGTCTTCCCTATAAAATTTGTAACAAAGAAGTATACAATTGGCATTTAAATTAGAGTAACGTACTCTAGAAAACCAGATCAAGTTATTTTTTATTTTTACAATCTTACATTATTTGTAAATTCTTACTACGTACAGCATTTTTTTCATCCCATGTGTTATTAAGATTCAACTCGAAGTTACTCACTTTTGATAACTTCGATTCGATAGTGTGTCATTTTCAAACAGCGGGGACATCGTGTTATACAAGCTGACTACAAGTGGCTGATTGGTGAAACATTGCCAACAAACTGTATTAATTTGTTGTTACAACAATATCAGGTTGAAGTTTAGAATTTGCTTCTAACACGTAGAATAGAAGTGTGTTCCTAGACATAAAGGATTGCGATTGGCCCGGATTGGGCAAGATTTATCAGCGTGAAACGAGGACCATTCTCCGATACTATTAATGTTTTGTAGTTGGTGTAAACATCTACTTACTTACTTGAAATTAGTGAAAGCATGAACTCATGAGAAGATGAATTCATTTTTGTTCATTTGTTTTGGCGACATTTCGTTATAAATATACTATCATTCTGCTTTTAATTGCACTCATCAAAAAGTACATTGTCTGTTTTCTGATGCTGATACTGCGTATATTCGAAGAACATCATTCTAAGGCGCTCCAGAAGTGTGTGTACCAATATGGAAATAACTAATTTTGTACGCCTACTTTACATCAAGTTGTGTAAAGGAATTGAAATCTATGAACAGGGGGTATATTCACTCAGCTAACACAGACAGTCCCCGGACTCGTAATATAACTAAAATAAGGAAAATCGAAATAAAATTATGACCTAAGCCAAACATGAAACACACACTACGTGAGTACTCATTCATAACGCTCTCAGTCTCATAGTCCATCTGTATATGATTGACAATCTTCCCCTTTTATCGTATTGTAATATAAAAACATCATTTTTCTTTTGGCCATATTTTATTTCTTTTGATATATTTTGTTCGAAAAGGATTACACTTTCTTTCAAAAATAGATTAGTGCGTCACAGTGAAAAATTAATGACAATAATGCTTCATTGTTCAATCACCAGTGATAACGATATTTCTATTATGCAAATAGTTGATTAAAACAAGTTTAATTCAATTTTTCGCATGAAAAACTGTTGAGAAAAATATAAAACGTATTCTAAAGAAACTTAAAATAACACCATTTTTCAGGTGTCGTGACGGAACTGTGTTATACAATGTTGTACTTTACCAAGAATAAAAATAAAAAAATAAAAAACTGCAACTAAAAAAGCATAACAATTTAAAAAATGTTCATATAGCATTTAAATCCTAAATTGGCACAAATATATGATTGTATAATTCAAATAAATCTTCTTGGCTTAGTTGGTTGACACAATCGTTCAGTTTGAATCTCATTTTCTCCACGATCCTCGGAGCGATTTGATTTCATTTATCTTACGTCATCAGTTTATCGATCACATTCAAATACAATTTGATTTCTGTCATGTATGGCGTTTCATATGAAGAGACAAATGATCTGATCTACTGAAAGCTCTTTCACAAAGAGTACATTTGAAAGGACGATGTCCTGTGTGCTTTCGAAAATGACGTGTGAGTTCGTCTGAACGAGCAAATCTCCAACCGCATCCAACCCACGTACATTGGTAAGGTTTTTCACCTGCAAAATAAAGTAAAAAATAATTAATATCATTTCAAATGTTGAGTTACTAAAAAATGCCATGTGAAATTAAAAAAAAATGTATATATCTTATCGTATTTATCGCAAAGGTTTCCGATAAATATGTAGAGATTAAATATAGATTATGTGATTATGATTCAATATTCGTATACTTAGCAAAATAAAATATTAATTATCAGTATATTTTTTTCATTAATCTTTGAACAATACTGGGCGTTGCTTATTCTACAAATTTATTTATTTTGAAAAATACATTGGGGTTTATCATCTGTTCTGTGAGTGAAGTATATGTATCCTAAATTTGAGTAGCTTCTACTTTTATTTTTTTTATAAACTATTATGTAAATATCAGAAACACGCTTCTGTACATAGGATTACTTTTTAAAATTATATTGCTTTTGACCCCGTATTTCTATTATAAGCATTGACGGTAAGCAAGAACGGCGTGTTAATCAAGGTAATCAATGTTACGGATACGGTTTGCCTAATAAATTGTATAGTTTAGTGACTTTTACTTCACTTTTTATAATCTGACATGCGTGTTGTCTAGAGACTTTAGTGCGCATATCTCATTATCAACTCTGCTTGAGCAATTCACATTTCTGATTCGATTTTACAACCTAAATCAACCTTAAAGCTTTAATCAATAATATGAATGCCTGTCTCGTTGTAAACATCACAAAATGTTGGATAGGCGTCTGAATTACATATATATAAACAGATAAGCTGGCATTTCGGTGTGCTAAACATCCTTAGTTTTGATAAACATTTCATTGACGAACCAAAAAACGTCAAAGTGCGCAACAATTGCTATCAATGGTAATAAAGATCTAACATAATCACATAAGCGTATCGCATAGATGCCATCGTAGCCTTTGCTTAGCACGACATGCTTTTGACACGTTGAGTTGACGTCCAAAAAATATTTTTTTTTGCAGTTTGAAAAATCTTTTGCCATTTGTATCGGTTTTCTCCTTTGCTAATGTAAATGTAAATATTAGCAATATATATTCATTTTATTCACCTGTATGTGTTCTCATATGAGCTTTCAAGTGTGAACTTTTATTATAAGTTTTGCCGCATCCTCCATGTTCACAAACATGAATTGTAGCCTTCTTCCGTCTTGTTCCAGTTCGTCGTGGCTTTTTGGCTGCAGATTTTGTGGATTTTAGATATGGAGGGAAATTTTCAAAACCATTTTGCTGGTTATAATATTGCGTTTGAAATGGAACCTGAAATACATAAAATAAACAATTGAATGGTATATTTATATCGTTCAAACATTAAACTTTGTTGCAATATTGAACTTTGCAAGATTTTCAACAACAGCAAATCCTATTTTAGACAGCTAATTTAATTCAATTGTCATCGGAATTTGATAAATAGGGATTTCATTTTCTTCGAAATTACGAGACAGGTAAAATTGTTGTCTGTCTGTCACATGCATTTCGTCAGGTTCACGTTATTCTGGCGCGCGACAGAGTCGTTATTCTGTCACAAATGAATAAGCAGGTATTATAATCAGATTCGTAAAATTTTTATTTGATTTGTTTGTCGCCTTTAATTACTAGTTGTGTCGTCACAGATAGTTTCATTCGAGACAAAAAGAATATTTACCGACGTCATAATATCTACAAGAACAATACACACAGGATGTAATGAGCCATTTAAAGCGGTATTTAGAGATTTTACTGTCGCTTAGTAGATGCAATCTATAATTACATGTGACGCCTTGCTACTGTGTCCACGCGAATACAATTTATGATACGACTACCCCCGAATGTTTCACAGAAAGTCTTCTTTGAATATATTAAATGGAAAGTGTATATCCCAAAAACAAGTTTTAAATTAAAGTCCTGTTGAGATATGTCCATCGTTTAATGGTATTCGGAGAAATGCAAATATAATACTATTTTAAAAAAATCAGTCATTACTTGTTTTATAATTTTACCTTTTGTGTGAACACATCTGCATGTTGTGGATCAAAAATCATTCCATTGTGTTGATAGTTGTTGAACTGATGACTTTCATAATAATGTTGATGTAGTTGTTGAACGTCACAATGCGTATGTGAAAATTGATTTTGAAATCCGGAAGTAAAATTTGTGGTTACGGAAGCACACTTTGTAAAACTGGATGACATATTTGACGTCACGGAATTCATTGGCATGTTTGGGCTGCATGTGTTGCCATTTGACGTAGCACCGACTGTAAACGACGGAACGTCACTCGGAGTACGGTTGTACGCAACATTTTGTCTATTGAAAGTAGAGTTGAACATTTCATTTACCTGTACGTGGTTGGGTAATGAAGAGCAATATTCATATGGTGGGTTCGATCCCTCAGTTGGTGAAATTGGTGGAGTTAGATCACCATTAGTGAAGTGATATACTCCTTGAACCATGTTATTTGGGACACATTGTTCCATGCGTGTGGGCGGCACTTGTAAAAATGACTGGCGTTGAACACATGGTAATTCATACTTAGGCCTCAGAGTAAACAAGGGACTTGCAGTCATTGCATCATCAATTGGCAATTCTGGAGAATTTGCAGTTGTAATCTCTTCCAAAATATCGAATCTGTCGGACTTGTTCGTAAATGTATTGCTATCATCTGAAAGCGGCGATAGAAGTTCTGCCACGAAACTTTCCGGAATTTGCGGGAGTTCGTCATTTTTATCTGTCGCAAATATTGGCGGTGATTCCCGGCATTCTTCTTCGTCCAGTATGAAGTCGAGATAGTCTGAACCATCTGACAAAATATCAGACAAATCTGGAAGTGGTTCAAGTTTGGACAGCTGGTGAACAACGTCAAGCGTCATTTTTTGCTTGTTAGTGGTCTTCAAATCAGTATTTTTATAAAAGAAAAATCTACAAAAGCTAAAAACACAATATATTTTATTTCATAATATATATTCTCATCTTTTATATTTTACGTCATAATCACAATGCAATGTTGCCGATCTTTGTATACCAGCAACACTCTGTTTTAACTATCTGCTCAACAAATTGCTTCATTAGTCACAGGCAACAATTCTAAAATATAGCTTGTCAGGCTTCCCTCTTTTTGACTGGGTTAGTCACCATTTAAATCGTCAATTTTGGATAGATATGGCTAGTTTAGTCACTAAAAAATGTACCTTTATGATAGATACGATTACATATCGCGCAATACTGATTCACATCATTCCTAATTATTAAATTTTCCATCTTGTTTCTTATGCTTGAATATTCATGAAATATTATTGAGTCTATCATAACTTTAAATAACATCATCCACATATATGTTATGGATGAAATGCTACATACTGCACTGCATACATACAATATATTTCATAGTTCTTGCATAATGATTGCATCAAAAAATCCTTTAAATGCTCAACGATAATATCTACGCGTCTAACATTAAATGTCATAACTTGCAATAAAATCGGATCTTCGCATATATGAATTATATGTAACAATTCACTGAGTATTCGTTTAGGAGTGCACTTTACTCCCTCTCCTTGTCTGCTCCTGCTAACCGATTTGACGTTCTTAGATAATGATGACGCACCTGCATTTGACGTTTCTAAAAATACCTGAGATATTTCTTTACGCTGCTAGAACTTCTCTCTTATTTTTTCTTTTGAGAGAAACGACCATCGGATGAACGTTTTTACGACCACGTGAAATATGCGTGCTCGCGTCCTACGCATTTACGTAATAACTATCTACAATTCACTTTAATAGCTTAGTATTTATTACAACTTAATATACATTTTCTATTTGTATTGCACACATGAACTAAGAAAATAAGGTTATAATGAAGGAGTGGTTCATCTTAAGTGAAGATTTCATTACCACTTGATGCTTCGGTGAGCTTCAAAACTTGCGTAATAATAGGTTTTACGAAGATGTTTCGAAGTGATACTTTATTCAATTATTTAATACACGCATAATAGGGTTTGAAAAGCTATGTTAAAATATCATTCGAATTATCAATAGAATGAAACAGAGCAACCAAAAGCGCGCGGTACTGCCTATTCCGCTTTTAAAGACTTGTGTATTTTCGAGTTTAGTAAATTCTAGATTTCTGTAAAAAATAATTTGAAAAGGTATTCTAGACATATACAAACGGCGTCCGTTTCTTACAATTTTTTGATACAAATGGATGACTTCTCAGCGTAAACATTTTACCATTAGAAGGTAGGAGTTCGTACCCTCTCAGCTCACAGACTCCTTTCACCAATTGTTTTCATAAAATATCGGCTGCTTCTGCTACAACAGATGCATTGCATACGACGCATAACACGAACAGTTATTGCTTTTCATTGAGCAAAGCTATTTGTATTTGGTATTTGCCCCATAATAAAATCTTGACAAATGTATATGAAAAATTTTGATGGAGTTGTATTTCAGACATTGGCCAGGGCATTCACCATAGTTGATCACTAAACATTTGCGTTTAGGTAGTGAATGCTATTTATAATTTTGATAAGTAAAGTCATCAGAATGAAGCACGAAGGGTACGAATTTGTATTGCTCTGAAATTTATCGAATTTTTTACATGTGTCTAAAATATAGCATTTGTTGTACTCGTTTCGTTAAAAAAATTAAATAAATGTTATTACTAAAATGCCGAAGATTGGCGAGACAAAGCCTGATATCTGAACTGAAAGATATAGCAACCAGTGGGCTGAATGGAGTGAGATCAACACTATTCCAATATCAGATTCGTGTGCATGGCAATAAGTTGCTTCATCTTAAAACCACTTTAGGATGAAAGCGGAAATCTTGTTGAAATAGTTTACTTCGCAAATATTAATCTTTATCTATGAATAATTAAAGTCAAATTAATAACGTCCTGGAATGAAACAATTACTTGAAACCGTCTCTGCATCACAGACGGTGGGACGCTCTTACGTAAATTACATGATACTCATTTGATTTCGCGAGACATTGCTGTTATACTATCGTGTGAATCGTAGAATGTCATTAGCAACACATAGTCATAGACTGTCCATAAAGTCCCTTTACAATTTCAATTATGTTATGGAGTCAGTTCTCAATATATCTCAACCGGGTTTGTTGTTTTTTAATCAGTAATTGTTCAAGTATTTTTATTTCAGTTAATACAATATATGGTATCGATAAAATTAAAAAGACTTTATGAACACCATATATATATATACCAGACCAAATAAAAAAAAATAAACAAACAATTCATTCCATCGTTTGCATGTATTAATATTATATATATCTCAGCGATTGAGTTGTGCCACATTGTACTAATGCGTATTTTTTTTTAAATATTATATGATTGTTTATCGAGATAGGTAACTATAGACATCTTTGTTATAAATGCAGCACCCTGAAATGGGTAACATTCACACCTATTTGATGTACGACTCGGTGCCGAAAGAAAGAAAATGAGGTTTTTGTCACTAAGTACATTTCCAGATATAGGCAGCAAGTAGCAACCCACACTACGATATTCAGTGTTGCCCACCTGCCATTGTGCTCAAGAAATTCCAATGAGTACACGTTCGTAATCATCCGTAACTAGGCAGAATGCGTATCATGATTGAAACCGCAACCCAGTGGCAGCCTGGCTAAAGCCGTTGACTGCAGTATGCAAAACATGGGCATTGTATAAAAAGCGTCTCTCGTACACTTTTTATTTGTGCTCCACGCTTGCCAAATTGAAATTGAGCTCCCACTTATCTTTGAAAAGTTTCTCCCTACGCGTATCGACCAAGACGTGAAATTGATTGTAACAACGTGACTCGATTTGTTTGTCGTTATGTGGTTCACTGCGAAATGTGATATTACGCAACATTACGCCTCTAGTGCAAATAATTACTGACCCTGGATAGATGACAGAAACGCAATCCTTGAATGGATGCCAATGTATAGAACAATGGCGTTACCGAAAAATCTAAATGATATGTACGTACCTAACACCGGCTTAAAGCTTACTTCAAGGATCAAATTATGAAAAACAGTATGATCAGTTGGTTGAAATATAGAAAATACTAAAATCTATTGTAGAAAACACCCGCCAAAAAACACCATCGCCACCGCTCAAAATAAAAAATCAGTAAACCAATTTTGGTTTGATTTGGATATTCAAATTTTCAGAATAACTCCAACTGGATAATTCTAATTTTGTATTTTGATTACTTGAATTACTTGAAACGTGGAGGGAGATTTCTAAAAAAGATCCAAAGCAAATGTTAATCAAGTCTAATTACCTACTGGGTAATTACTATCGTTTTAAAACGTGGAGGAGTTTTTTTTCTCAAATCTCACATTTTTTGCCTTGTCGGGGTTATTACAAAAGATTCCATAATCTTTACCAATTATCACTTTACAAACAGGAATTTGACACATAAACTATCTTGTGTGGTCGCTCAGCGTCTTTGCTTGCGTGATCCCAAGATTCCGTCAGTACGTATACCTGGAAACGTCGATATGGGTGGATGAAAGCGCATTCATTAAATCGACTCAATTGTAGCTTTGTAAACCATTTTTGTGATAAGGTGCGAAGTATTGTTTATTTAAAGAGATATTCTCTTTATCGGCAAGCTGCAACGAAGACTAAATAGAAAGAAAAGTATTTATAGAACGCAAAAGGTGCGCTGCAATTTGTATTCATCTCCAAAACCCCTTGTGTTGAAACTTCTCCTTTTACGGCGTATTGGTTTCAAATCACCCGTGTCAAAATACATAAAGCAGGTTGACTATCTATACATGTGACGTCCTCGTGAACGGCGAGACGTCCCGTCTCGATAGTTTCTGTGAGCCAAAGCGATGTCCTAATAAAAATGATATTAAACTCAAATAGCTTCTGAATATTTGCATTTAATATACGAAAAAGTGAGTATCCAATGATTTGATTCATTTTTTTTGTAATGTTTTTTTTTTAGTAATTTACTTTTTTCGCAAAGAAATTTTAGTGTCCAGCACAACTTATGCTGATTTCTTGAACTTTTAAAGAAAAACAACAAGAGCAAAATATATCAATAAGCCAAATTCATATTAAATGAAGAATGCCATACCAATCGCATATGTCTGATTATTCAATTTTTTCCTGTTGAAGCAAAGGCATAAAATATCTCATAATAATTATTTATAGTTATCATGGCCATTACATTACTTTGCTACTTTGCTTTGAATTGCATGCATATTCAGCAGTTTCGTTCCTGATATCAGTGCTACCACAAATGAATATATTGCATTGCAATAACCACATTTAAATCTGATTTACCCCACACCAAAATGACGTATTGGAGCGAAGTTATAATAACTTTGAAATGAGACATTAGAAGCAACAGTAAAGACATTCTTCTTACAAATCCCTTACTTCGATTTTAGGAATACGTCAACACGTGATAAAATATTGTACTGAGCGCACATTTGATATCAAGCATTGACCATTGCAATTAACTTTCCATTATACCTGTGCAGTGCAGTAACAATCCAATCCACTTCACACACATGTAATTATTACTTGTAAAATACATCATTAGTAAATGAGGTCACTTTTACACATGTAAATGGTTTTGAAACGATTGATTTGTTTAAATTTTATCCACTCAAAAAGTTAATTATATTTAGGTGAGACCACATAGCCATTCAAAAACAACAGATTTAGTTTCAAAAATAATTTGAATATCAATTTATTAGTTTGATTTTTGAAAGCTTCATAAACTGAATTATCATACATACAATAATGTCACTTACATAAACACTAATAAGATTTACGCGACAAGACGTACTTATGCTTCTTCCTCACCTTAATATAATATGTCAACTCGGTAATATTCGATTACTGCAATTTTTGAATTTCCATGTGACGGAAAAGTATATTGCCTGATCACGCCCTAACATCACCCTTTTGATCAACAGCCAACATTTGCGTTATACTTGAAAAACATAAATAAAAAATACATGTTTTCCTACTTCCAGAGGAATAATTATTATTATTATTTTAATCCTTAGGATATAATCAGCAAAGATTAAAGATAAGGTTATCTCTTCCTGATCAACTAAACTAAATATTTAGAAAACAATTGTCTGACTGATCTGATTTTTATCTTCCACAGTTCGCGAACAAAGGTCAGATATTGAACCATAAAGCACTGTTATAAAGAAATTGAAAAACAGACCGGGCTGTCAGATTAACAGAAAATTGTAAAAACGAATTCCTATATTTTAATATTTCACTGTAAATCTTAGTGTTTTTTTATTAAAATTTTGAATATCATGTACTTTTTTTATATTCTACTCAATTATATTTTAGGTGTTAATTAAAACAAAAGGCCTGTACATCAACTGCTTTTTGTCTAATGGATTATTTTATCATCATAATCAACACCTTGTGAGGTAAAATGTATGCTCGGTTTAATACGTCAATGTTCGTAAATGGCAAACCACAAAATTTAATTTTCTTTCGGGGAAACATGATTAATAGGCTTTTAGTTTATAAGAGATAATGCCTTTTTC